CTCTGTATCTCCCAAGTTGACAATCTGAGTTTCGTCCAAGTTAGACTTAGGTCTATTCTCAAAATCCTCAACCTCTTTAACAACCTCTTCTGGTATATCATCTTCTTTTGAGTCTATATCCGTTTGTTGCGTTGTCTCATTGCAAGTCACAATTGTCGGTTCATCAAGATAAGTAATAGTAATGCTGTGTAAATAAAGTAAACGATGAAAAGTAATAAGAGCGGGATTTAGGAGAAACTAAAATGCTTTGATAAATTTCATAATTGTTTTGAACATTGGAGCTCTTATTTCGAAATTAAAATGCGGAAAGAAAATTGACTAGTAAAATAAAGATGATGCATGGTGCTTTGTTCAGCCTTGCTACCCCGAAGCTTTCCGGGCCCTGGTGGTTATGACGGTCCAGTTGTCGAGGCGTGCTCCTCGGCTCATGGCTTGTATGGAAGGGCCTTCCTCCCCTTCCTCCTCAAAAATGACGCAACAGTCCATGTTATCATCCTCCAAAAACAAATTCCTCATTGCCTCCAGTGCTTCCTCTTCTTCCAACCCATATATGACATCGGCTGGCTGGAAATTCTACTCCAGGCGAGGTATCGGATGCTCCAGTGGGTAGTAGGGACCGTGCCATGGCAGCGACCATTCATTGAGCTCTTTCCAGGTGTATTCATATCCTAAACCAAAAGTGGTACCATGTTTCTTCAGCTTGATGGGTTTGGTAATTCCTTGGAGGTTTTTGCCAAGTCCCTTGCCAGGTTCGTATCCACACCAATTCAGTATGCTCTCAATCTTGTTATCCTACCATTTATCCTTGTCCATGGCGTTGACCCGCTTAATATGGTGGTAGGTTTCTCCGCCTATCTTCCTTCTTCCTCCGATTGCCGGGATAGTCTGGCGACTGTATATGGGATTGCTATCGTCGCCGTGAATGATAATCGATGAACTATTGGTGTTTTGATGTTGTTTTGGGCGTTCCGAAGGTTGGAACAAGTTTGAATGATGTTTTAGGATTGGTTGGCATGTTTGGTTGAGGTCCCGGGGGCCTCAGGTGTGTTTCGGGTGGTTAATGGAGAGTGTTTGGCCTTAAAAGAACTGTTGTTGCTGCTGTATTTCTTATTTCTGGTTTCCTTATATGCGATCGCAATAGTAGGGCTGCGATCGCATAGGTTTGTTGGTGTGGCGGCAGAATTTGTGCTATGCGATTGCCAGGATTGGTCCGCGATCGCGAAGTAAGAGGAGTCAAAGTAGTGAGGTCGCATGAGTTTGTACGTGAACGCACAATGTGGGCGCGTGTGGCAGGAGGTGATTGGTTACTCTGTGCAAACGCAATTGGGTGAACGCAATTGCGTAGAGGGAGGAGAGCCAATGCTATGCGAACGCGTGTGATGGATCGCGAACGCACTAAAGAATTTTTATAAAAAGCTGGGCAGTATATAAATAGCCAATCTGCGACCCTTCTTCATTTGTCCTCCATTTTTGAACGGGATTGAAGCTTTTGAGGGAGATTTTTGAGGAAACCAAAGGGGAATCACTTGGAGATAATATTCTTGACTTCATAACTCGTTTATATGTGATTAAAGGTTGAATTAGTGGTGAAAAATTAGGGAAACATCAGTGCAAAAATGGGTGATTAGGGCTTAAGATTAAGAGACCTTAAAATGGGTATTTGAGGGGTCAATTGAACTCCGATTTATGTGTTCTTAATATGTATAGACTCCTGAGAGTGTGAGAATTCTGAAAATGTAAATTTTACCTGATTCCGAGATGTGGGCTCGGAGGGCATTTTGGTCATTTTACCTAATTTCACGTATTAGCTTAGAATTTATTTGTAGAATCAGTTATTTGAAGTGTCATTTATATTATGCAATTGAATTGAATAGATTTGGACCATTTGGAGTCGAGCACTCGTGGCAAGAACGTGGTTTTAGGTTGATTTTGAGCCGGTTCGAGGTAAGTGGCTTGTCTATCCTTGTGTGGGAGAAACTCCCCTTAGGATTTGGTTTGTTGATAATTGAAATGCCTTGTACGTGAGGTGACGAGTGCATACTTGTGCTAATTGTTGAAAGTCCGTTTTTCTTTAAGAAACTATAATGTGATTCTTTTTTTTCATGTTCATATTGCGTGTAATTTAAGCCTGCTATTAGCCTAGGGAAGTATGTTTAATTGACTTAATTGCCTTACTTTCTCAATTTGCCTTATTTGGATTATGTGCAGCATGCTAGGTTAGAAATATCTGTTTTACTTTGGTATGGAAAATTGAATTGAATTGAATATTCTTCGTGCTGCTGCTATGTGTTTATATTTTGGGACTACGGGCAATATCCCGGTAGATCCCCCCTGCACATTTACATTTGGGGACTACCGATTGAGATTACGGTAGATCCTCGGCGCACTATGAGTTGGACTACGGGACGACACCCGGGAGATCCACTAGACATTTATATTTGGGGGCTACAGGACGGTATCCTGGTAGATCCCCGGTTTGCTGGTATTTACATTAGGGGGCTACAGGACGGTATCCTGGTAGATCCCCGGTTGCTGGATATTTACATTTGGGGGCTACAGGACGGTATCTTGGTAGACCCCAGGTTGCCATTTCTGTGTTGAGCTGTATTCTTTCTGCATTATTTTCTCTGTTGTAATTGTTGTTATCTTTATCATTATACTGTTTTACTTCATACTGTTTCGCTCTTGAATGAAACTGTGGATGCTTTCCTTGCTATTGTTGTCTTTCTTTTATTTTGGGACTACGGATGAGTGATCCGGGAGATCCCCTGCGCATATATTGAATTTGAATGTAGTGCGGGATACCAAGAGATCCCAGCACATATATTGAGGATACCAAGAGATCCTCGGGATACCAAGAGATCCCCCGTACATATATTGAGGATACCAAGAGATCCTCGGGATACCAAGAGATCCCCAGCTCGTATGTTGAGGATACCAAGAGATCCTCGGGATACCAAGAGATCCCCAGCACACATATTGAGGATACTAAGAGATCCTCGGGATACTGAGAGATCCCCGGTTGTTATCTTTGCATTGAGCTGTATTTATTTTCGTGATTACTTTGTTCCTGTTAAAGTTGCTGTTGTTCTTCTATCCTGTGTTATTTTTTTACTGTTGCACTTAAGTATACTGTCTTACTCTACACTGTTATATCTTGTATTTCCTTTAACCTCAGTAGGGCCCTAACCTTCCTCGTCACTACCCGACCGAGGTTAGGCTTGGCACTTACTGAGTACTGCTGTGGTGTACTCATGCCCTTCCTGCGCATGTTTTTCATGTGCAGATCCAGGTACTCCCACTCAGACTTATCACGCTTGAGGCGAGGCGTTTTGTAGAGACTCCGAGGTATATCTGCCGCGTCCGCAGACCGAAGAGTCCCTTTCTATTCTCAGTACTAGTATAACCCTTTCTGTATTTTCCCTTATTGGTAGACATTCTGGTGTTAGAGCTTATTATGTAATCCTTTAGCTTGTGATTCATGGGGTTCCGGATTTTGGGAGTGTTAGATTGAGATTCTTGTACTACTATATGCCAGGCAGCATCTTAACACTGTTAAACCTTGTTAACTTAGTTATAATTACTTTCTTCTGCAATTGTTTCTTTTCCGCATTTGTTAGGCTTACCTAGTCGTAGAGACTAGGTGCCGTCACGACGGTTCACGGAGGGCGAACTGGGGTCGTGACACCTTGTCAAATCAGCAGCAACAATCACGGGAAAATTGTTAGTCTCCAAAAAAGCATATTTTAAATGTGTCGGGAGTACTTTCAATTCCAGCTTCGGCTTGATCTTTTCTTTCTCGAATTCTTCTTCATCTACCACTTCGTTCTCATCTTCCAGTACCTCAACTTCCTTCTTGATCTCATGATCTTCATCCTCTGTTGTGCTTGACTGACTAATGCATCTCTCTAATGCATCACCTACCAGCTTATCCAGCTTGTGTTATTCAACTAACTCTCCCACCACATCCAGCTTGAGACAAGTAAGGGTGGACATCGGTCGGTTCAGTTCAATTTTGTAGAAGTTTAGTTCGGTTTATTCGATTTTCGGTTTGTGATTTCGATAACCACAATCGAACCGTAATAACTTCGGTTAGGTTCGATTTTGTAGAAGTTCGCTTCGATTTAATCGGTTCGGATTTTCGGTTTCAAGCCATGGCAGAAATGGTACGAAACAATGAAAATAGATTTCTTGTTGACAGAAAAAGATAAAAAAAAAATAAAAAATCCCATCAAATACACGAAAGAGATAAGAATCTTTATGCAAAAAATATCATTCTACATTACAAAAGCAGAAAAGAAAATAGTATTAGCAATATCTTGCATTAAGCTTGCATTGGTGCAAAATATTTGAAGCTAAAATATAAAAAGTTAAAATCTTCCTAGTTTAACTTTGTCTTAACAGACATTAATCTGGCATGATTCGTATTTTTCAGTCATTTGAAAATTAACAAGTAATTTTTATTTGATAATTAGATTGGAATTGTTACTTGTCATTTTATCTTTCTCTTTTTATTGATATTTCATGATAGTCTTTTTGTTTTATGTATTTACGTGATTTGTGGTAAGTAATTTCTCTTTGTTGCTAGCATACACAAATCCATTATTCAGATGGTTCAGGTTTCCTATGGTACATATTTTTTGTAAAAGATATGTTGATCTTGGACAAGGTGACAGGCATAGGTCCAACGCACACAATGGACAGACTATAGGTCCAACACACACAATGGATTGGGCTTCTTTAGGTTGAGAATTAGTTTTGGGATTTAAGGCTAAGTAAAGAGTAACATTGTAAGGGACTAAGAGTCTAAAGGCTGGTAAAAAAATTCGGGTTTTCCATTTAACCGAAAATCGAACCCTTAAAATCGATCACCAAACCGAACTGAATTTTTTCAAAATATAAACCACAAACCGACCGAAGAAATTGAAAAATCGAAACCGAATAAACCGAAATTTACGATCCGATCGATTTTTTCGGTTCGGTCGATATTATGCCCACTTCTAGAGACAAGCATAGGCAGATGCATCATCATACGAGTATTTCATCATTCTCTTCATTTGAAACACCACTTTTTCGTTTTTCACTCGTAGCATGAGTTGCCCCTCATATATATCAAGAATAGCCCGGCCAGTGCAAAGAAACGGTCTCCCCAGGATTAGAGGTACCTCCTTATTCACTTCCATGTCTACTACGATGAAGTATACTGGGAAGACAAATTTTTCTACCCTCACCAGAATGTCTTCAATTATGCCCTCCGGTATGATTGTGGTCTGATCAGCCAGTTGCAAAGATACCAGCACATATTTGATCATTCCTAGTTCTCCTTCCAATTTCTTGAACACCGATAATGGCATCAAGTTAATGGAAGCACCTGAATTGCACAAGGCTTTGTCAAAATTTTCGCTCCCCAATGAGCAGGGTATAGTGAAACTGCCAGGATCCCCACACTTTTGAGGAATTTTATTTTGTAGAATGGCACTGCAGTGGGCATTGAGTTTGACAACTTTTATTTCCTCGAGCTTCCTTTTACTTGAAAGGAATTCCTTCAGGAATTTTGCATAGGTTGGCATCTGGTGAGCACCTCGGTGAACGGGATGTTCGCATATAGTTGTTTCAGCATCTCCAAGAATTTCCCAAAGCATTTGTCTAGTTTCTCCCGCTTCATCTTTTGAGGAAAGGGTAACACTGGCATGTGCTTGCTTTCCTCAACTGCGCTGCTAAATTTGTGCTTATCAACCTCCTTGCTGCTAATATCCTACTTAGGCAGAGATTCATCCATTTTCTGTTCTTCTGCTATCTTGGTTGAGTTGATCTCCTTCTCAGCACTTGGTTTTGCAATGGGCTCTGCTAATATTTTCCCAGTCCCGAGAGACACATCCTTGATCGTCTCTTTTGGATTCTTCTTAGTGTCTGCCGGCAAAGTCCCCGGAGCCCTTTCTGATAGCAATGATGCGAGCTGCCCCATTTGTCTTTCTAGATTTCGGATGGTTGTGCCTTGATCCCGGATAGAGGTCTCTTGAGTCTCAAGTTTTTCATCAGATTTATTTATGAATGCCTTCATTAGATCTTCTAAACTTGAGTTGTTGGGCTGTGGAGGCTGGTATGGTTGCCTCTGTTGGTTCTAGAAGCCAGGAGGTCCTTGCTCTGGTGCTCTGGGATTTTCCTGTTGCCATGAGTTCAAGCTACCATTTGAAGAACTCCATGAGAACCTCGGATGTCTGTCCCATAGAATTGAAATTACTACCTCGTTAGTAGTTGCCTTTTTTGAAATTACCTAATGCCTTAACTTCTTCTTCTGCGGTGAATGTTTGGCACTCATGAGTTGGGTGTCCTAATCCACAGACGTCACATCCCACTTGTGGTTGATTTTGCACCTTAGCCATCATCAGTTGCTTGATGTCCTTAGTCATAGCTGCAATTTGGTCCTGCATTGTTACAGACGATTTTACTTGGTGCACCCATGCTGATCTTCTTCAATCCCTTTGGTCTGTGGAGCATTGTTTTGCATCTTCAGATAGTTCATTCATAAGTGTGACAATCTGTTCTGGAGTTTTCTTCATCAGAGGACCTGCAATCGCACTATTAAGCAATCTCCTTGATGACGGGTTTGACCTGTCCCAGAAGTCCTGGAGTTGCATCCATTGCTCCATTCCGTTATGAGGGCACCTTTGCAATAGCTCCTTAAATCTTTCCCATGCCTCGAACATTGTCTCCCCTGCACCTTGGCTGAAATTGTGAATCTCTTTCCTCATCCGTCCAGTCTTAGCAGCAGAGAAATATTTTTCTAATAACTTGGTAGTCATATCCTCCCACGTACGGATTAACCATGTGGGTAAACTTCTCAACCACTACTTTGCATCATCCTTAAGTGAGAAAGGGAATGCTCTGAGGTAGATGGCATCATTTGATGCTCCATTGTAGCGGAATGTGTTCATAACTTTGTCGAAGTCCATCAGATGGTTGTTGGGATCTTCATTGGGTTTGCCTCTGAATATGCAATTGTTCTGAATGGTCTGGATGACTCCTTGTTTGAGTTCAAAATTATTGGCATCAATGGGTGGGGGCTCACACTAGATTGTAGTTGGTTGTACACTGGTCTGGCATAATCTCCTAGAGACCTCCCAAGCCTAGGGGCTGCATTTTCAAATTCATCTTTGATCATGCTTCGGTTGAGATTGAACCTTCGATCCCCGTCGACTGCTTCATCCGCAATTCTACGGGATGCTTCAGCTACTAACCGTGCTTCCTATTGCTGAGCTGCCTCTCTCGCAGCTAGGTTCACATCCTCTTTGTTATTCACCATTGTATTTTGAGTCGAAGTCTGACCCAACAACAATCCGCTCGATCCTTTCTCCCTTCTCAACTGCTGCAGGTGCTTGTCTAATTTTGGATCGTATGACACCAATTCCTTGGAAGAGGATCGAGTCATACACCACTGAACTTAACCTGTTGCCTGCACACAGATGAGAAGAGCGTAAAAAAATAAAATAAAATAAAATTGTTCCTGAATTAGCACCGAAAATTAATTCAAACAGTATTAATCACCAATCCCCGACAATGGCACCAAAATTTGACGAGCAAAACCAGTGTATAAAACTTAGCCTCGCTAGTCAAAGATAGTATAGTATTAAATCATCTCCATAGGGATTGGTTTAAATAATGTTCTAATAAATCTTCAGCTTAACACTACCCAGGAAAATAAACCTTTGATTTATGTTATTAAAATAATAAAACTAAGATTTTTGACTGTAAGAAACTAATGGAAATTTAATGACTAAGTAGCAACAATTGAATATCAAGGTGAGAAGTAAGGGTTGTGACAAGATATGTGATCAACTATTATTCTGGTAACTCCGTGCTAAGTTCACTCTTTACTTCTGTTGACTCATATGATTTCAACAGATGATTATGCTATCTTAAGGATTCAAATTCTTCTTCCGAATGAATGATAGTTCCGTTAACCAACCTAATAACAAGTCCTATGAACATATGCACAAATATAGTGAATGAATGATCTTTCGAAGAACGTCTCTTGACTATTCTTCCCAATTAGGTCAATTAATAACTCTCTAAGCTCTTTCGATTACCTATGAGAGGCGTAAAATTAAGCCAAACAAGATAACACAATGCAAACTGCAACAACACTTCTCTTTCGATTAAAGTAAAACCACAATTGCCCTTGAAATTCAATTAATAACTCATTGAAAGAATTCGACAATTAACAGAGAGTAAAACCCAAAACAATAGTCAAATCACAATATCCATCAATAACTCTAAGAACAATTACTCCATGGTGGAGAAGTTGTTTATCACAAGAGTATTAGAAGAACAAGAAGACATTACAATTTCCAATATCAAACAAACTTTCGTATTGAATGAATTGGATCAAGCATTTTCCGTCTCCACTGTTTCCTTGCCTTTTTCTCTCCAAAAGTTTCTCCAAAATCCAAGATACCTTCCACTGAGACGAGCTAGGCTTCACATAGGTCAAAAGGAGTCGCCTCCAAATTTACAAAAATAGCCTTGGGTAAAATTCCCAAAAGTATATGTGCGTGGTCGCGCACTTGGAGGTGTGACCGCGCATATGGTCGCGCACCTCTAGTAGAACACTGCGTCACTTGCACGCCCAAGTGCGCGATGGGGGTCTCTCATGCGCGGTCGCGCACCTGGTTTTCCTCTTGCTTAACTCATTTTCCACCCACTTAATGCACTATTCGTCCATTGATCCCTCCTGCATCACCTGCACTAAAAACCAATATATTAGACTCAAATCTGACCAAGCTCTATCGAATCAGCCAAAACATAGTCACAAAGTGGACATAGATAATAGGTAACTTTAAGCTCATCAAGTGTCAAGGCAAGTGTAATTTTTGAAAGACTCAAGATAGCAATGACCACAGCTCATGTTCTTGCACTTTCTGATTTTTCCTTGGAGTTTGTTATTGAAACTGATGCTTGTAGAGTAGGTATTGGAGTTGTTTTATTGCTGGAAGACCACCCCTTGGAAAACATGAGTAAGTCTCTGAGTGATAGACACCAACAACTATCAACATATTAATGGGAGATGATGGCTATTGTAACAGATGTGTAGAAGTGGAGACATTACCTCATTGGCAGACATTTCACTATCAAAACAGACCACTAGAGCTTGAAATACTTGATGGAGTAGAGAATTTCCACTCCAGTCAACAGAAACGGCTGGCCAAACTAATGGGATATGACTATACAATCACCTACAAGAAGGTTTAAGACAATCTGGTAGTTGATGCTCTATCTAGAGTGCCTAAGTTTGATGACAATATTGATGCACAACTATTGACACTATCTTGCGTATCATCAGAATTCTTAGAGCAGATTAAAACCTCCTATACAGTTAATCCTCACCTACAGGAACTCACTCAGCAACTACAATAGGACCTTTTAGCTAAGCATATATATATATATATGCTGAAGGATGGCGTGTTATACAGGAATGGGAAGATAATTGTTTGCTATTGCAAAGAATTAAGAAAGCAAGTCCTACGGTTCTTACATGATGGAGCCATAGGAGGTCATTCAGGGATGACTACCATTTTACAAAGAGTAAGCCAACTTTACTACTAGAAAAAGATGGAAACAGATATTTTTGAATACATTAAGAGCTATGAAGTGTGTTAAAGATGTATAGGGAAGAGTGTGAAGAGCCCAGGCCTATTACAACCTTTGCCTATCCCAGGAAAAATATGGCAAGACATTAGCATTGATTTCATTAAAGGACTACCACAATCACATAGTAAATCTATGATCTTGGTAGTGGTGGACAGATTGAGTAAATTTACCCACTTCATAAGCTTGAAACACCCCTATAATGCAGCCTCAATAGCTCAAGCTTTCCTAGATAATATCTACAAACTTCATGGTCTTCCTCAGACAATAGTGAGTGATACGGATGTTGTTTTCTTGTCTAAATTTTGGCAGTCCCTCTTTGATGTCCAGGGAGTACATTTACATCACTCTACAACATATCACCCTGATGGTAGGCTAGAATCACGTATTTTAGTCATAGTTTGCACTCTAATTACTGCACTTTGAGCGTGTTTGATCTTAAATAATAATGATTTTCACTTATTACGTGTTCTATACTTTGTAGGAGATGATTTCGAGTTAAAAAGATAAATTGGAGCTAAATAGAATAATCTGGAGCTTTAAAGTCAGAGTAAAAGCCAAGGAATTAAATCGGGATCGCGTCTGGGGCTCATGGATCGGCGTTGCATAGATAGCTGGAAGAAAGCGTAAGGGTTATGATATTTGTACTAATGCTTCGCACAATGCATAGCACAGTGCGTCGCATCAGTGCAAATGTGCATCAGAAATTTGAGAAGATCAGAGACTTGTAGATTTTGGGTTTGACAAAAAAATACACTAATGCTAGTCACAGTGTGTGGCATAGTACGTAGCATTAGTACAAAATTTTGTCAGACAAGCTAAGTTCAGAGAGTTTACAACCGAGCAAATTACACCAATGCCATGCACCCTGCGTGGCATAGTGTGACACATAAAGTATAAAAAGTTTGTAGGTTTTCCCACTTCGGGTCAAAGAGGGTAGTTTCGTCCGGGTTCATTCCTACTTGGTATAAATACACTAGAAACACATTTTTATGGG